TTCCTCGACTTCCAATATTTGGACTTAGATGATGCAACAGAGTTTCGTAAGTCAAGTTACCACTGTACAAGACAATGTTTGGAAGCAGTTGTAACATAACATTAGTAAACAACTGCTAAAGTGTAACATAAAGCCTACTCTTGACCCTGACCTTGACAGCAACTTGAAATTCAATACCCATATAAAACAAAAAGAAAAAGTGCCAAAACAGTTGGCATCCTCTCTAAGATACATGTACACTATTATGTACCACAAACAGCACTACAACTACATTACACTATTCGCTGATCTATCCCTACCTCACCTACGCTATTTGTGCCTTGGGTTCTACAACAGCATCTCACCTTAAGCCAATAATAACTCAACAGTAGTGTACTGTATATTGTAATGAACAGAAAACAGGAAATCAGCTCTAATATACATAGGTTTGCATACTGGTTGGAGAGCTGGTTATAAGTCTGAGCGGTCGGTAAATGAGTACGTTGCTAAGTGAGGAGAGACTGCACAGTGGGACCCACGTATCCACGAGTCCACATCTGCAGTTTCAGTTATCGGCAATTTACCATGGCCCAAAAATAACTCTTAACTTTGCTTAATAATGGCTTCAAAGTGCCTCAAGTGTCAGAAGGTCTTCAAAGTCTAAGAGAATCTGTGAAAAAGTGAAAATTATCCACTTATTGTGCATAATTTATCAATTAAATTTTATAATAGGGGTGTATATGACTTGCATATAGGTTTTGCTACTATCCACAGTTTTGGTATCAGTGGCAGGTCCTTGGAGCATTTCCCCCGTAGATATGGGGGCCCTACTGTTATCGATTAGTTATTGCCATTATAGTGTTAAGTTATGCTTAAGTTTGCCCGAAATGCTCTGTATAACTATGAACTTTCCGCTTGTACACCTAAATGTACTTATCTTTGTACTAACATTACATCATGCCGAAATAAACTTAAATTGCATAATAATCAGTCTTACAAAACAGAAAGTCATCCTCATACATCACACCAGAGACCTATATTATCCATAAATGACTGGTCATACCCTAGAGGGCAGACTGCCATCACTATCACCCAGCTTCTCCCAAAACCCAACACAGCCGTCCTGACCATCATAACTATAAAAAACGAAACGGCTAGTTCTTGATTAGCGCGAGTTCAAAGAGTGCAAATTTCGATTTAGTGCAAAATGAAAATGCTAGTTTCCCCCCCCCAACTCTTCGAATCACATGCATACATAATTATATTATTACAGTGGTACACAAATAACCCGCACAGAAAAGAGAGAAGCTTACGGCGACGTTTCGGTCCGACTTGGACCATTTACAGAGTCACACAGTGTGACTTTGTAAATGGTCCAAGTCGGACCGAACGTCGTCGTAAGCTTCTCTCTTTTATGTGCGGGTTATTTGTGTATCGTTCCAGTCACAGTATTGTGCCTTTTTTTGTTATTTACTGTGGTACCTCTGGCCACGAACGCTTCTGAACACTAACAAATCGGTTCATGACCAAAATTTACCAAATATTTGCATCTGGTCACACATAATCAGGCACCAAACAAACACAGCAGCGCCAATTTTCACATTCCATACCATTTTTTCACGAGCGCCAATTTTCCCCACTTCCTGCAATTACGACCATGATAAATTCAGATTAGCAATGTTTTATCAGAAGGTAGTGCCCAAACAGTTTCTCGCAGTGCCAGTACCCGTCTAGGGTTTGCCATATGTGATTTTCGGTAAATATATTTTTTCTCATTTTTTTGGGCTATCTTATTGAAACTTGGGCTATGTATGACGGAAAGATGTTTCTTAATGTACACCAAAAATGAAAGAAATTGGCCGATAAATAACGGAGTTCACTGCTCAGCCATTAGACGCCCCTTAAGGGTGAATATCATGTTATTCATCATTTAAGGTGAATATCATGTTATTCATCATTAAGGGTGAATATCATGTTATTCATCATTAAGGGTGAATATCATGTTATTCATCATTTAGGGTGAATATCGTGTTATTCATTAAGGGTGAATATCATGTTATTCATCATTTAGGGTGAATATGTTATTCATCATTTAGGGTGAATATGTTATTCATCATTTAGGGTGAATATCGTGTTATTCATCATTAAGGGTGAATATCGTGTTATTCATCATTAAGGGTGAATATCGTGTTATTCATCATTTAGGGTGAATATCATGTTATTCATCATTAAGGGTGAATATCATGTTATTCATCATTTAGGGTGAATATAATGTTATTCATCATTAAGGGTGAATATCATGTTATTCATCATTAAGGGTGAATATCATGTTATTCATCATTAAGGGTGAATATCATGTTATTCATCATTAGGGGTGAATATCATGTTATTCATCATTAGGGGTGAATATCATGTTATTCATCATTAAGGGTGAATATCGTGTTATTCGTCATTAAGGGTGAATATCATGTTATTCATCATTAAGGGTGAATAATCTGAATATACTGATGCAGGTGTTGGATTAATGTGATGAGTAAACAGGAAGTAATGAATGTGATGACTCGTATGGAGGCCTGGTCACAGACCGGGCCGCGGGGGCGTTGACCCCCGAAACTCTCTCCAGGTAAACTCCAGGTATGGTATTCTCCCTCACATAACTGTACTCCCTGACCCACCTTACCCACCCTGACCCACCACGACTCACCACAATGTTACTTTGAAGAAGTACAATTATGCCTTGACCCACCTTACCCACCCTGACGTCTCACTACCCACCCTTGACCCACCTTACCCACCCTGACGTCTCACTACCCACCCTTGACCACCTTACCCACCCTGACGTCTCACTACCCACCCTTGACCCACCTTACCCACCCTGACGTCTCACTACCCACCCTTGACCCACCTTACCCACCCTGACGTCTCACTACCCACCCTTGACCCACCTTACCCACCCTGACGTCTCACTACCCACCCTTGACCCACCTTACCCACCCTGACGTCACACTACCCACCCTTGACCCACCTTACCCACCCTGACGTCTCACTACCCACCCTTGACCCACCTTACCCACCCTGACGTCTCACTACCCACCCTTGACCCACCTTACCCACCCTGACGTCTCACTACCCACCCTTGACCCACCTTACCCACCCTGACGTCTCACTACCCACCCTTGACCCACCTTACCCACCCTGACGTCTCACTACCCATCCTTGACCCACCTTACCCACCCTGACGTCTCACTACCCACCCTTGACCCACCTTACCCACCCTGACGTCTCACTACCCACCCTTGACCCACCTTACCCACCCTGACGTCTCACTACCCACCCTTGACCCACCTTACCCACCCTGACGTCTCACTACCCACCCTTGACCCACCTTACCCACCCTGACGTCTCACTACCCACCCTTGACCCACCCTGACGTCTCACTACCCACCCTTGACCTACCCTGACGTCTCACTACCCACCCTTGACCCACCCTGACGTCTCACTACCCACCCTACCCACCCTGACCCACCTAACTCACCCAGACGTCTCACTACCCACCCTGACCCACCTTACTTACCCTGATGTCTCCTTACCCACCTTGACCCACTTTACCCACCCTGACCCACTTTACCCACCCTGACCCACCACAACGTCACTTAGAGGAAGTATAACGAGTATGATGCCCTGACTCACCTGGCACTCACCCTCCCGTCTCACAACCCACCCTAACCCACCTTACCCACCCTGACGCCTCACAACCCACCCTAACCCACCTGACCCACCACAACACGACGTCAATTTCAGGAAGTAATCCGGCCTTGAAGTCAGCCAAAACTGACTTAAATGAGTATTCCGCCCCCCCCCGACTCACCCCCATGACTCACCCCCATAAAACCCCCCCATGAGTAACCCCATTACTCACCCCTCACTATACCACACCATCAACCTCACACCACCACCTCACACAGCTTAAATTAGTAATATTACTCACTATCTCGCACCAAAACACACACTTTAGGATCATAAGGGTGGTGAGTGCGACAGATGAGTGTGTGAGAGTGAGTAAGAGTGAGTGTGTGAACTCTTTTAGTGGGATTCATTTACTCTGGATTCTTTTTACTCTATAGTTTCCCATACTTTAATTTTTCTTTGAGTTAGAGAAAACGGTGGTTTTGGGGGGTTTTATGGGAGACTTTTGTAGTATTTAGTTTGTGGTTGCAGGGGTCGAGTTTTAGCTCCTGGCCCCGGTACTTATGGTGGGGGACATGGGTGTGTGCTTACCTTTGTGTGGTTGCAGGGGTCGAGTTTTAGCTCCTGGCCCCGGTACTTATGGTGGGGGACATGGGTGTGTGCTTTGTGTGGTTGCAGGGGTCGAGTCTTAGCTCTTGGCTCCGTGAGTTAATGAGTAGGTAAGTGAATAAGTAGGTGTGTAGGTGAGTGATTAGGTAAGTGAGGGGGTAAGTAGATGAGTCAGTGATTAGGTGAGTGAATGAGTAGGTAAGTGGGTGAGTAGGTGAGTGAATGAGTGAGTTGGTGAGTAAATGAGTAAGTAGATAAGTAAATAAGGTGTCCTGTAGCTGGGTTGGTTGTGTATTCAGCTCACACAATGAGTGTTCATGGTTCGATCCCTGGTACAAGTGAAAACAGGGCATGTTTCCTTAAAACACCTGCTGTCCATGTTCATCTAGCAGTAAGTAGATACCTTTAAAGGACCACAGTGGAAATAAGTCACTTAGTCTGACTTTTTTTTGGGTTATCCCAGGTCCTCTGCACATATGCTGTTATGTATGATACTTTCTGTAACTGTATATTACGAACACAAGTAATGTATGGCCTGTGACCTGGTCGTAATGGGGTTTGGAGCAAAGCAAACTCAGACTATTACCTGGAGTTTACCTGGAGAGAGTTCCGGGGGTCAACGCCCCCACGGCCCGGTCTGTGACCAGACTATAATTTATATTTTGCCTTCACCCACTATATATAAATATGTACACTTTGTACAAATGGAATAATAGGTGCACACGATGGTGACAGATGGCAGAGCAAGAGCCAAAGAGAGTGCACTGTACTCAACCAGCAGGTAGGCAAGTCTGCCAAATGCTCATCACAAGTGAACCACATTGCCTCAGCTTTGGCGGGCTTGCCTGCGATTGGTTGATGATCCAAGGTACTGATTTAACGATGGGGAGCTTCTTGATCGTTAAACCCTTAATACCCGGTTCACTGGTTGGGAGGCAGCCTAAATGAGAGTGTGACATACTCTTTGCGTGCTACACTGTATTTGTGTATACTTGAATAAACTTACACCTGCTGTCCATGTTCACCCAGCAGTAAGTAGGTACATGGGTGTTAGTCACCTTACACCTAGTTACTGCTGGGTGAATACCCAGCAGTAACTAGGTACCTGGGTGTTGGTGGACTAGTGTGAGTCGCATCCTGGGACAAAATTAACCTTAGTCGAGGGGAATGCTCTGCATAACCAGTGACTTTCTGTATAGTAGTATGCCATTGATGTCAGCTATGGTCTGTATAAGTTGCATCATGTACTTGTAAAAATAAAAATTATAAGTAGTAGTAAGTACGTCGGTATTTAGGTAAGTTAGTATCACACACACAGTAAGGTAACATAAAAAGTTAGCCAAAGTGACTTTCACTGGGGTTGTTCTAACTCGGTCGCCAGCGTACTCAGCTCACACACTGAGGTCCAGGGTTTGAATCTCCTTTGATACGGCTGGAAAACATTAGGGACGTGTTTCCATAAGACACCTGCTGTCCCTGTTCACCCATTAGTAAAATGCGTACCTGGATGTTAGTCGACTGATCTGGGTGGCATCCTGGGTGTTAGTGGACTGGTGTGGGTGGCATCCTGGGTGTTAGTCGACTGGTGTGGGTGGCATCCTGGGTGTTAGTGGACTGGTGTGGGTCACATCCTGGGTGTTAGTGGACTGGTGTGGGTCACATCCTGGGTGTTAGTGGACTGGTGTGGGTCACATCCTGGGTGTTAGTGGACTGGTGTGGGTCACATCCTGGGACAAAACTGGCCTAATTTGCGGGAAATGCTCAGCATAACAAGTGACTTTATATATAGTAGTATGTCACTGATGTCAGCTATGGTCTGTATACCTTGTACATGTACTGGTATACCTTGTACATATACTGGTATACATTGTACATGTAGTGGTATACCTTGTACATGTACTGGTATACCTTGTACATGTACTGGTATACCTTGTACATGTACTGGTATACCTTGTTCATGTACTGGTATACCTTGTACATGTACTGAGAGAAATACAGATATTAATAACAACATTGGTTTTAAGCTCTCCAACGATGACAACTTCATAATGACACTACTGATAGGCTTCAAACTTGACGTGCTCGTGTGTTTCAGGAAGCAGGTTTCTCTGGGATAACAAAAGAATGCTTCTTCCGCTCGTCTTCAAACCTGGTCCTTCTCGGTGGAAGGTTTGAATAAATATGGGTTGTGTATATCACATATTATTATTATTATTATTACTATTATTGTTATTATAGAAAGCATCTAATGCATAGGGGTCATTTAGGACTAGGCTAATGGAAATTAATTAGGCCTAATCTGGGTTGGAAAGCATAGGCCTCTGGTCAGACCTACAGTGCCAGCTTGCAAGATCTTGCAGTGATAAGATAGCAGTGCCAGGGTAGGAGGGTGATAAGATAGTAGCACCGTCTCGACAGCAACACAAACTACCTGATCCTTCACTACTGCTCCTGCTGGTTAGTGTCACCTGCTTAGCAGAACCTATCTTAGAGAACTGTGTTTATAAAGGACATGCCAAATCCAGTTTGGGTTGGAGAGAGGACAGTCTGTCAGCTAAGGGGATCTGTTTAATATGTTATGTACCTGGATATGTTATGTACCTGGATGTGTTATGTACCTGGATATGTTATGTACCTGGATATGTTATGTACCCCATATCCACCCTGAAGGGGGGTAGTCGGAAGATTACAGAGGTACAAACTGGGTCCTGGGACTGTAGTTCAACATTACAAAAGCACACAATGTCTCCAGGGACTGTCCCTAAACATTACATAAGCACACAATGTCTCCAGGGACTGTCCCTAAACATTACATAAGCACAATGTCTCCAGGGACTGTCCCTAAACATTACATAAGCACATAATGGGTCCAGAGATTGTCCCTAAACATTACATAAGCACATGGGCCCAGGGACTGTCCCTAAACATTACATAAGCACATAATGGGTCCAGAGACTGTCCCTAAACATTACATAAGCACATAATGGGTCCAGATACTGTCCCTAAACATTACATAAGCACATAATGGATCCAGGGACTGTCCCTAAACATTACATAAGCACATAATGGGCCCAGGGACTGTCCTTAAACATTACAGAAGCACATAATGGGTCCAGGGACTGTCCCTAAACATTACATAGGCACATAATGGGTCCAGGGACTGTCCTTAAAAATTACATAAGCACATAATGGGTCCAGGGACTGTCCTTAAAAATTACATAAGCACATAATGGGTCCAGGGACTGTCCTTAAACATCACAGAAGCACATAATGGGTCCAGGGACTGTCCCTAAACATTACATAAGCGCATAATGGGTCCAGGGACTGTCCCTAAACAATACATAAGCACATAATGGGTCCAGGGACTGTCCCTAAACACTACAGAAGCAATAATTTGGGGCCAGGACTGTCCCTAAACATTACATAAGCACATAATGGGTCCAGGGACTGTCCCTAAACATTACATAAGCACATAATGGGCCCAGGGACTGTCCTTAAACATTACAGAAGCACATAATGGGTCCAGGGACTGTCCCTAAACATTACATAGGCACATAATGGGTCCAGGGACTGTCCTTAAAAATTACATAAGCACATAATGGGTCCAGGGACTGTCCTTAAAAATTACATAAGCACATAATGGGTCCAGGGACTGTCCTTAAACATCACAGAAGCACATAATGGGTCCAGGGACTGTCCCTAAACATTACATAAGCGCATAATGGGTCCAGGGACTGTCCCTAAACAATACATAAGCACATAATGGGTCCAGGGACTGTCCCTAAACATTACAGAAGCACATAATGGGTCCAGGGACTGTCCCTAAACATTACATAAGCACATAATGGGTCCAGGGACTGTCCCTAAACATTACATAAGCACATAATGGGTCCAGTGACTGTCCCTAAACATTACAGAAGCACATAATGGGTCCAGAGACTGTCCCTAAACATTACATAAGCACATAATGGTCCAGATACTGTCCCTAAACATTACATAAGCACATAATGGGTCCAGGGACTGTCCTTAAAAATTACATAAGCACATAATGGGTCCAGGGACTGTCCTTAAACATTACAGAAGCACATAATGGGTCCACGGACTGTCCTTAAACATTACATAAGCACATAATGGGTCAAGGGACTGTCCCTAAACATTACATAAGCACATAATGGGCACAGGGACTGTCCATAAACATTACAGAAGCACATAATGGGTCCAGGGACTGTCCCTAAACATTACAGCACATAATGGGTCCAGAGACTGTCCCTAAACTTTACATAAGCACATAATGGGTCCAGAGACTGTCCCTAAACTTTACATAAGCACATAATGGGTCCAGGGACTGTCCTTAAAAATTACATAAGCACATAATGGGTCCAAGGACTGTCCTTAAACATTACATAAGCACATAATGGATCTAGGGACTGTCCTTAAACATTACATAAGCACATAATGGGTCCAGGGACTGTCCCTAAACATAAGCACATAATGGGTCCAGGGACTGTCCCTAAACATAACATAAGCACATAATGGGTTCAGGGACTGTCCCTAAACATAACATAAGCACATAATGGGTTCAGGGACTGTCCCTAAACATAAGATAAGCATATAATGGGTTCAGGGACTGTCCCTAAACATATAAGAACATAATGGGTTCAGGGACTGTCCCTAAACATAACATAAGCACATAATGGGTTCAGGGACTGCCCCTAAACATAACATAAGCACATAATGGGTTCAGGGACTGTCCCTAAACATAACAAAAAGCACATAAGGGGTTCAGGACTGTCCCCTAAACATAACATAAGCACATAATGGGTTCAGGGACTGTCCCTAAACATAACATAAGCACATAATGGGTTCAGGGACTGTCCCTAAACATATAAGAACATAATGGGTTCAGGGACTGTCCCTAAACATAACATAAGCACATAATGGGTTCAGGGACTGTCCCTAAACATTACATAAGCACGTAATGGGTCCAGGGAGTGTCCTTAAACATTGCATAAGCACATAATGGGTTCAGGGACTGTCCCTAAACATTACATAAGCACGTAATGGGTCCAGGGAGTGTCCTTAAACATTGCATAAGCACATAATGGGTTCAGGGACTGTCCCTAAACATATAAGAACATAATGGGTTCAGGGACTGTCCCTAAACATAACATAAGCACATAATGGGTTCAGGGACTGTCCCTAAACATTACATAAGCACGTAATGGGTCCAGGGAGTGTCCTTAAACATTGCATAAGCACATAATGGGTTCAGGGACTGTCCCTAAACATTACATAGCACGTAATGGGTTCAGGGACTGTCCTTAAACATTACATAAGCACATAATGGGTTCAGGGACTGTCCCTAAACATAAAATAAGCACATAATGGGTTCAGGGACTGTCCCTAAACATAAGCACATAATGGGTCCAGGGACTGTCCCTAAACGTAACATAAGCACATAATGGGTCCAGGGACTGTACCTAAACATTACATAAGCACATAATGGGTCCAGGGACTGTCCCTAAACATTACATAAGCACATAACGGTCCAAAGGGGCTGTCCCTAACATTACATAAAACACATAAATGGGTCCAGGGACTGTCCCTAAACATAACATAAGCACATAACGGGTTTCCCGGATTGTCCCTAAACCTTACAGAAGCACATAACGGGTCCAGGGACTGTCCCTAAACATTACATAAGCACATAATGGGTCCAGGGACTGTCCCTAAACATTACATAAGCACATAATGGGTCCAGGGACTGTCCCTAAACATAACATAAGCACATAACGGGTCCAGGGACTGTCCCTAAACATTACAGAAGCACATAACGGGTCCAGGGACTGTCCCTAAACATTACATAAGCACATAACGGGTCCAGGGACTGTCCCTAAACATTACGTAAGCACATAACGGGGCCAGGGACTGTCCCTAAACATTACATAAGCACATTAAAGGGTCCAGGACTGTCCCTAAACTTACATAAGCACATAACGGGTCCAGGGACTGTCCCTAAACATTACATAAGCACATAACGGGTCCAGGGACTGTCCCTAAACATTACAGAAGCACATAACGGGTCCAGGGACTGTCCCTAAACATTACATAAGCACATAACGGGTCCAGGGACTGTCCCTAAACATTACATAAGCACATAACGGGTCCAGGGACTGTCCCTAAACATTACATAAGCACATAACGGGTCCAGGGACTGTCCCTAAACATTACATAAGCACATAACGGGTCCAGGGACTGTCCCTAAACATTACATAAGCACATAATGGGTCCAGGGACTGTCCCTAAACATAACATAAGCACATAACGGGTCCAGGGACTGTCCCTAAACATTACATAAGCACATAACGGGTCCAGGGACTGTCCCTAAACATTACATAAGCACATAACGGGTCCAGGACTGTCCCTAAACATTACATAAGCACATAACGGGTCCAGGGACTGTCCCTAAACATTAACATAGGGACAAATGGGTCCAGGGGCGTCCCTAAACATTACATAAGCACAAAAGGGTCCAGGGGCGCCCC